CTCAGGCTGGTCTCAAACTCCTGAGCTCAAACAATCCGCCCGCCTCGGCCTCCCAGAGAGCTAGGATTACAGGTGTGAGCCACCGCGCCCGGCCATTTTCTTCCTTCTTAAGGCTGCATAATGTTGCCATGTATTATATTTTGTTTATCCATTCATCTATTGATGAACATTTGGGTTGTTTCTACCCTTTAGCTATTGTTAATAATGCTTCTATGAACATGGGAATACAAATATCTCTTCAAGTCCCTGCTTTCAGTTCTTTTGGGTATATACTCAGAAATGGAATTGGATCATGTGGTGATTTTATTTTTAATGTTTTGAGGAACTCTGCCATACTGTTTTCTGGCTGTACCATTTTTTATTTCTGCTAGTGGTGCACAAGAGTTCCACTTTCTCCATGTTCCCACCAACACTGGTTATTTTCTGATTTATTTTTGATCTGGATTAAGGTAGTTTTGTGTACTAATTTCTAAGACCAAAAATACTTCTCTTACCAAAAGCTTTTCCTGTTTTTTTTAAGTCTCAGTGACCTATTATGAAGAAAATTATATTCAACTTTTATAGTTTGGTTCTTTTTTTAGTGATGGTGAATGTTTTTTATATGTATATTGGCCATTTGTATTTCTCACTACAAGAACAGTCCTAAAGTGCCTTCATCTGTCTTTCTACTCATATACCAAACCTCCCTTCTCTATACATTAAAATGGTGATCAATGAATTAAAATTGAGGGTTAGGCTTCTGCTGGAATATCTATTTTGAACCTACTCAATTTTTTTGGCTTTTTGTTTTGCTTTTTTGAGACAAGGTCTCACTCTGTTGCCTGGATTAGAGTACGGTGGTGTCATCATAGCTCACTGAAACCTCACACTCCTGGGCTCAAGTGATCCTCCTGCCTCAGCCTCCTGAGTAGCTCGGACTACAGGCGCATACCATCATGCCTGACTCATTTTTCTATTTTTTTGTAGATACAGGATCTCACTATGTTGCTCAGGCTGGTCTTGAATTCCTGACCTCAAGCAATCCTGCTGCCTCCGCCTCCAGAGTGCTAGGATTAAAGGCATGAGCCACCACACCTGGCTTTTTTGCCTCTTTGTTTTTAGGAATGCACCCAAAAGTAGAACAGTTCTAAAATAGTACATAATTCATTGATGGAAATTCATCATGACGTATTTTATTTTGTGTTTTAAATTTTCTTCAGGTCTGCAAAGAAAGCAGAGTTGGAAGAAAATCAGCGGAGTTATAAACAGAAAAAGAAAAGACGACGCATTAAAGTTCAAGAAGATTCATCCAGTGAAAACAAGGTAATGACGTTTACCATGTACTTGAATTATAACTGGTATGGTAGACTATAATAATATGCTGTAAGCTCTCTATTCCTTTCATTAATTACATTCTACTGGCTCATTTACATTTTATACTCGTGTAGGATTGGTTTATGGAATGTATAAATATGTAGAAGTATTAACTTGACATATTATCAATTTTTTTCTGTACCTTAATTTCCAATGGAAATTTCAAGCCATTCTAATTCATTCTTTTATATTTACAGGGCTATGGAAGTGATGTGGTATTTTGTTTTCTGATGAAGTAAAACTCTACCCTGAGTGATGACTTATATGTGAATAAATTTCTTCTGACAATGAAATTAGCCATTTCTATTTCTTATATATAAGCAGGTTTACATAAAGTGTCTGTAAATATGTTTGATTCTGTCAACACAATTCTCTTTTGGAGGGTTGTTCATTATTTAAAAATTAAATTTTTGGCCAGGCATGGTGGCTCACACCTGTAATATGAGTAATTTGGGAGGCAATGGCAGAAGGATTGCTTGAGGCCAGGCATTTAAGACCAGCTTGGGCAACATAGCAAGACCTCATCTCTCTAAAAAAAAAAATACAAAATTTAGCCAGGCGTGGTGGTGCACGCCTGTAGTCCCAACTACTCGGGAGGTTGAGGCAGGAGGATCGCTAGAGCCTTTGAGTTCAAGGTTGCAGTTGAGCTATCGTCACGCCACTGTACTCGAGCCTGGGTGACAGAGCGAGATGCTGTCTGTTTAAAAAAAAAAAAAAATTAAAAAATTTTTTTAATTTCTTTTTTTCTGCAACAAGAATGGAGGAAATTTTTTGACTATTTTAAAGTGTACAATTCAGTGGCTTTAGTTACATTCACAAGCAGAAACTCTTTTCGCATTAAACATTAACTCCTCATTCTTTTCTATCCCTTATCGCTTGGTAACCTCTATTTTCATTTCTGTCTCTATGAATTTGCCTGTTTTAAGTATGTCATATAAATGGAATCACAACATTTATTCTCTTGTGCCTTATTTTATTGACTTGTTTTCAGAGTTCGTCCATGTCGTAACATATATCAGAATTTCATTCCTCCTTAAGGCTGGATAATACTCCATTGTATGTGTTTACCACATTTTGTTTATCCATTCATATGTTGATAAACACTTGGGTTGTTTCTACCTTTTGACTATTTTGAATAATGCTGTTATGAATATGAGTGTACAAATATCTGAGTCCCTGCTTTTAATTCTTTTACATATATACTGAAAAGTGGAATTTCTGTATTATACAGTAATTCTATGCTTAACTTTTTGGGGAACTGCCTTACTTTTTTTCTATAGTGGATGTACCATTTGAAATTCCTACCAGCAATGTACCATTGTTCTAATTTGTCTACATCCTCGCCAACACTTATTTTCTTTCTTTCTTTCTTTTTTTTTTATTTCAGCACATTATGGGAGTATAGATGTTTAGGTTACATATGTTGCCCTTGCCCCCCATGCCCCCCAAGTCAGAGCTTCAAGCGTATCCATCCCCAAGACGGTGCATATCGCACTCATTATGTATGTAAATACCCATCCCTTCCCATCTGCCCGACACCCAATAAATGTTATTCTTACATGTACACTTAGGTGTTGATCAGTGAAACCAATTTGCTGGTGAGTACATGTGGTGCTTATTTTTCCATTCTTGGGATACTTCACTTAGTAGAATGGGTTCCAGCTCTCTCCGGGAGAATACAAGAGGTGCTATATCACCATTGTGTCTTATAGCTGAATGGTACTCTATGGTATACATATAACACATTTTATTAATCCACTCATGTATTGATGGGCACTTGGGTTGTTTCCACTTCTTTGCGATTGTGAATTGTGCCGCTATAAACATTCGAATGCAGATGTCTTTTTTATAGAATGTCTTTTGTTATTTTGGGTAGATGCCCAGTAATGGGGTTGCTGGATCAAATGGTAGATCTAATTGTATCCCTTTAATGTATCTCCATATTGCTTTCCACAGAGGTTGCACTAGTTTGTAGTCCCACCAGCAGTGTATGAGTGTTCCTATGTGTCTGCATCCATGCCAACATTTATTGTTGTGAGACTTTTTGATAAAGGCCATTCTCACTGGAGATAAGTGATATCACATTGTGGTTTTGATTTGCATTTCCCTGATGATTAGAGATGTTGAGCATTTTTTCATATGTTTCTTGGCCATTATTCTGTCTTCCTTTGAAAGGTTTCTGTTCATGTCCTTTGCCCACTTTTTGATAGGGTTATTTGGTTTTTTTCTTGCTGATTTTCCTGAGTTCCAAATAGATTCTGGTTATCAGCCCTTTATCGGATTTGTAGCATGTGAAAATTTTCTCCCATTCTGTAGGTTGTCTGTTTGCTCTCGTGACAGTTTCTTTGGCTGTGCAGAAGCTTTTTAATTTGATCAGGTCCCATTTATTTATTTTGGTTGTTGCTGTGATTGCCTTTGGAGTCTTCTTC